AGCCTGGATACGAACCTGGGATGCCAGCATTGGAGGCAGCAGCTTAACCCACTGAACCACAAGGCCAGCCCCGATTTGTGTTCATTTTTTTTAAATATTGATCCTACCTGCTACCCAATTCTTTTTGTTAAACCATGGAGTCAGATCACAGAAAAGTCTTGTGCATTACAGATGGGGCTGTGCATCAGTGAATTCCTGCAAGCTTCAGGTCTCAGCCATCGCATGAAGCCACAGGGAAGGCCACATTGAAGGTCATGGGTGTGACACACAAGGTTCCTTGTAGGATCACCTGGGTTACAGAGCGAATGAAACCTGGATTTCTAAAGACAGAACAAGATCCCAAGCCATTGTTGCATGCTGAATTCCGTCATTCAAGGAGTTTGGACATCTGGAGACCTGGATCCTAAACCAAGCCATCAGCCTCAGCTTCCTCACTTGTAAAGCGGGGAACTGGACCAGCTGAGTATTTACGAAGCCCCATATCAGTGCTAAGTCAGAGGAGAGTGTGCGTGATACCAGCAAGTGGACAAGGGGTCCCTGCCATCTCATGTGGCTCTCTGTGTGACAGGAAGCAATGCTGGGCAGTGGAATGGGGAATCCTCTCCATCCTACTCCTTGGGACTTGCTCTTAAACTTGCTGTGAGATGGGACTCATCCCTCCTCTGCCTCTCAAAATTCCAGCCTCAGAGCAGCACAGTCCAGGAGAACTTTCTAAGACGATCAAGTGTTCAGCATCTGTGCTGTCCACTCCAATGGCCTGTAGTCACCAGGAGCTTTTTGAAATGTGTTATTTGAAAGGCAGAGTGTCAGAGATAAGAGGGGTGTTGTGTGTGTGTGAGTGTGTGTGAGTGAGAGAGAGAGAGATCGTCCATCCAGTGATTCACTCCCCAAAAGCCTGCAACTACCCAGGGCTGGGCCAGGCTGAATCCAGGAGCCTGAAACTCTGTCTGGGTCTCCGACATGGGTGGCAGGGGCCCAAGTACATTGCCTGCTGCCACCCAGGAGCGTTAGCAGGAAGCTGGAATTTTTCTTTTCTCCTTCCTTTTCCTTCCTTCCTTTTCCTTCCTTCCTTCTTTCCTTCCCTTCCTTCATTTCTTTCTTTCTTTCTTTCTTTCTTTCTTTCTTTCTTTCTTTCTTTCTTTCTTTCTTTCTTTCTTTCTTTCTTTCTTTCTTAAAGATTTATTTATTTATTTGAAAGTCTGAGTTACACAGAGAGAGAAGGAGAGGCAGAGAGAGGTTCCCCATTGGCTGACGCACTTCCCAAATGGCCACAATGGCCGGAGCTGCGCCGATCTGATGCCAGGAGCCAGGAGCTTCTTCCAGGTCTCCCACATGGGTGCAGGGGCCCAAGGACTTGGACCATCTTCCACTACTTTCCCAGGCCACAAGCAGAGAGCTGGATTGGAAGTGGAGCAGCCAGGACTCGAACCAGTGTCCATATGAGAAGCCGGCACTGCAGGCAGTAGCTCTGCCCACTACACCACAGCGCCAGCCCCAGGAAGCTGGTGTTCCAAGCAACCCCTGGAACTCCAATATGGGGTATGGGCTTCCCAAGTGGATCTTAACTGCTGTACCAAACATCCAACCCACCCCAGCCCCGTGAGGAGCTCTGAGCAATTGAAGTGTGGAGGAACTGACTTTTAACTGTATCTATTTTTGATTAATTTAAACTTAAACAGCACCCCCTTGGCTAGAGACTGTTATATGGGAGGGATATCTTTAGGGCTGTAAGGCCAGCAGACATCCTCCTGACCTAGACACAGCGAGAGCAAGTGGTTTACCTAAAGGCCTTCAGCGACAGAGTGGACACCAGAAGCTGGGTGCCCCTTTATTTGCCACAGCCTCTTTCCCCTGCAGCCCCACTGCCCGCCCGGCGGATGCACCGGCTCCCTGCCCCTCCAGTGTGAGGTCGTTACCCCTGACTGCAGTGCTGCGCCTCTCCTCCCACCCCCTCCCCTCAGAATTCCCGTGATGGTGCCAAAAAGGCACGCTCAGTCAACGTTCTGTGAATGAGAAAGCCAACTGCAGCTTCCCAGCGGCGGGCTGGCCTCTGGCCCTCGTGGCAAGGCCGCCGGGTGGCGCTGGACATCAGCGAGGTCACAGGACAGCAGCACTGGGCGAGGTCGCTGTAGGTGTGAGACCACTCCACAGCCACGTCCGGATACAGTCATGTGCGAAGTCATAAAGACGACCAGGCATCCTCCTCGCCAGGCAGCACAAGTGCACCGATTTCTTGACAACTGTAGCCTTGGTCCTGCTCTGTTGCCTCTCTTAGCTAAAAGTTGGGGACCACCTGGTCCCCAGAGAATCTCTGCTGTGACGGCCCCTGCTGGCAACAAGTCCTTGCTGACACTCCGACGGTGTGCTCGACCACAGGTGTGTTCCTGCGGCCTTTAGCTGGGGAGCACTGACAAAGATGTAAGTGATGGAAGTTCAGACTCCATGATAAATAGTCAAGGAACACACACACACACACACACACCTGTGCGCACACACAGACACAGACACACACTTGGAAAAATGGAATGAAAAGAGAAGCTTGTTTGGATCCAAAACACATTTAGAAATTGTATGTTTGTGGGATCCTCAGCAAGCTCGTGGAAATGCATGTTATGAAAAACTCTGGATTTCACATTTTTTCGTTGTTGGAAGGGTCTTTGCTTCAAATGGCACATCCGGGTGACTTACTACTCTGCTTGTGAGTGCCATGGACCCGCGGGTCTAACCAGGCTCTGGAAATAAGCTTCATGGGCAGGGCAAGAAGCAGTGGCAAGGAAAGAGATTAGAATTTATGGAAACTTGATCACAAGCCCGATTTTATTTCACTCAATTCTTACAACCAGCCCATGGGGTAAGGGCACTCTTATTCCCCCCAGCTTAAAGATAAAGAAACTGAGGCCCACAGAAGCTTGGTGTGCGTTTGGGTCAAGATTTGGAGCAGGCCTGGCTCCTACACCCAGCCTGTGACCTCCAAGAAAGAAGGGGTGAGCAAAGCTGGCCCCACTTTATCTCTTTGTCCCTGAGGGCCCTGCAACCTGGCCTCCTCCAACCCCACAACCTCTGAGCTAAGCTCATGATTAGCCTGGAGCAAAGCATCAGCCAGCAGAGACCAGAAACCCTTCACCAAATCTCATTTGATAAGTGGGGAAACTGAGGCCCTGGGAGGTCAAGCCCCTCCCCTCTCCTCTCTGAGCTTCTTCTTGTGGTGGCTACAGCTGGCTCTGACCAGCTTGCAAAAGCCGAGTGTGCATCTCTCCCCAACTCAGTGTCAACTGCTGTCGTCCCCTTGGTCACTTCCTCTGAGCCGTGGGGCAGGTGTTACCCCAGAGATATTGGCAAGTGGTATGGATCAGGGGTTGTGTGTGTGCATGTGTGAGGGAGGTGGTTGTTAGCATTTACCAGCACACCACTGGCCTCCTGTCTCCTATGAGGAAAAGGAATTCTGAGTGTAAACGTTATTGGGAATGTTCAGGAACAGCTTCTGTCAGAATACAAGCAGACTGAACTTCAACTTGGCTTGGCTGTGGTTTTTATCATGAGTGTCCAAGTGCTCCATGATTTCCTGGCTCAGAACACTCTGAGAGTCTTGTTGAAAGCATGTCCTTGACCCCACTGAGTCAGAATGTCTGGAAGTGGAACCCTAGAATCTGCCTTTGGTCAGGCGCCTCAGGTGACATTTTTGGTGCCTGAGTTTGCTCTCTATCCTCACCCTCATATCAGATGACACCTCAGACGCAGAGGGCAAACTTTGGACCCTCAAGGAAAGTGCAAGCCTATCTCTGTTTTCTGAGTGCCTGCGGTGTCCTGCTGAGGGCGAGGACAGGCCCTCCCATCTCCTCTCCCTTCTCTGAGGTGTTGGCAGATAGTGTGGGTGCTTGGACGTTAGAATCAGGCACAATTCCATCCACATCCACTCCCTAGCTGAGTTTGCTGCTAGAAGTTCCAGGAGAATCTATTAACACATAGGGAATGCATGGCCGGTTATGAATTGTCAAAATGATTTGAAGTCTGAAGAACTGAATTGGAGTCCCAGACCTGATCCCCGTGAAGCGTGTGATCTAACACAGGTCTTTCAACCTCTCTGGGCTCAGTGGCTCCCTCTGTATAGGACCCACCTTAGAGGTTTGTAAGAATCACATGAGATAATGCAGGGAAAGGAAACTCATTTACCCAGTGCTGAATACATATTCAGTTCCTTAGCTATCTCACCCTTGTAAGTGGGCCCTCCTCAACTCTAGCACAGCCTGGTGATCAATTCAGTGAGGCCCTGGGCTTACTCATCTCTGTGTTTCCCTGGCACATATTATGGATTTCCTAAAGGTCTGTGATGGAATATTAATTGTATTGATCAGAGTCCTCCAGAGAACAAAATCAACAGGAGATGATAGGTAGATGATGAAAAAGAAGAAGAAGAAGAAGAACAACAACAACAACACAGACAGACTGATGTAGGTAGGTAGCTGGATGCATAGAGAGACAGATAGATACAGATATATGGCTATATAGATAAGATAGGCAGATAGACAAGGTAAGTAGGTAAGTAGATAGATATGGCTGGGTGAGTGGACAGATTAGTAGCTAGCTAGGTTAGGTAGGTACTTGTAGGTCGGATCTACTGATGGGGAGATAGGTACACAGATACCTGGACATATTACCTCACATGATCTGAAAGCTGTAAGAATCCGCAATCTGCTGTCTGTTAGCTGGATGCCCAGGAAAGCACAGAGTATAGTCAAAGGCCTGAGAGCCAGAGAGCTGTTGGTGGAGATTTCAGGTCTGAAGGCCAGAGAACCAGGAACCTTAAGGGCAGTAATTCCCAGCTCAAGCAGGTAGAAGGCAAAAATCTACCTTCCTCCAGCTTTTGTTTTTGCCCTATTGGGGCCCTCAATCGATTGGATGTGGGTTACCAATATGGGAGGGTCATCTGCTTCACTCAGTATACCAATTAAAATGCCAATCTCTTCCAGAAATACTTAGAAATAATGCTTAAGGAGTTATCTGCCCCCCATCTCCCCCCCAACTCCCCGCTGCCGCCTGGTCAAGTTGGTGCATAAAGTGAGCAAACCACAAATATGTCTGACCCACAGACAGACAAAGCCACCCACACATGGCTACTGGAGTGGGATTAGTCATAGAGAGGAGGCATCAAGAGGCAAATGGAGAAAACGGAGAGCTTAGGGTCAGAGTGTCAAGTGTTAGGGTGAGGAGTTGAGTCTGTTGCTGCCTAACACATCAGCACAAACTCAGAGACTTGAAACAACACCTGTTTATTATGTCACAGGTTAAATGGGCCAGGAAGCTGAGCCCAGCATAGCTGAATCTTCTGCCTAGGATCTCACAAGACTGCAATCAAGGTGTTTTCTGGGGCTGGAGTCTCATCTGAAGTCTGACTGGGGAGGGATTCACCTCCTTGCTTGCTCAGATTGCTGGCAGAATTCACTTCTATATGGCTGGAAGACTGAGAGCTTCACTTCCGGGTGGCCCACTGTGCACTGCCTGGGTAGGGAGGGAGTGGGAGGTGCAGACACGCCCTGGGCGCCTTCCATCTTCTTTCCCACCTTTACCTATGGTAGATAGAGTGTGGGCATATGGACATTGGAATCAGTCACAACTGTCACCTCCCAGACAGTTCTAGGTGAGTTTGCCTTCTAGAAGTTCCAGGAGAATCTATTAACACAGAGGGAATGTGTGACCAGTTCTTAGTTATCCCACCAACTTGAAGTCGGAAAAACTGGGTACTTCATTCATTTGGGGGCCACACTCAGCTCCTAGAGATGCTGCCATTCTTTGCTGTATGGGCCTCCCAACCCAGACAGTCCACCATGTGGCAGCTTCCTTCTTCCACACCAGCACAGGACTGAGAGACTCCCCAAGATAGGTGCTATGTTTTCATGCAATGTAACCATGTCATCCCTTACATCACTGATGGCATTCTATCCACCCCATCACCAGTTAGAAGCAAGTCAAGGACCATGCCTACCCTCAAGAGGAAGGAGTTACACAAAGTCACAAACATCAGCAGGTGGATGATGGGTGACCACCTCCAGAACCTGAGATAAGGCTTATCAAAGATTTTCCTGGTGCAGCTGGTGGGCACAGACTTGTGGGATCGGAGAGCTCCGAGGACTCATCTCTCAGTATTTCCCTTTTCCTGGGAGAAAGCAGAAGTCCAGAAAGACTGATGCACCTCTGAGTGTACAATGGAGACAGCCTGGAATCCAGACACTCTTACTTCCAAATCCAAACACACTCCACTACCTCTCTCTCTGCTTATTGTCAGGACTTTGGAGCCAAAAGAGATAAATTTAGGCACATTTTGAAACTGCAGCTCAGTGGACATTGAAATTTCTTGGAACACCTACAGAATACATCCCAGTCCTTATCATGACAATCAAGGGTCTTTGACCACCTGGTCCTACCAAGCTTTCTGCATCTCACCTCTTGCCATTTCACCTGCTTCCTAATGTCCCATCACAGAGATCTACTTGACACTTCCTGGTGGAAGTGTCTCCTTTCACATATTCCCCACCAGGAATGCTCTTCATTTCCTACACCTAGAAAATAAACAAAACAAACAGAAAAATAAATATAATTACTTATCCTTGGAGTCCCAGTTCAAATGCCATCTTCTCTGAGAAATCTCCCTCAATTTTTACAGGCAGGAATAATCACCCCCTCCATTCTGCTCTTAGAATCTTGTGTGCTCTCTGTCACACGCACAGCCCTTGTCACATGTACGATAGTTGTTTTTGAATTCTGTTTCTCCTATGACACTAGAAAGACATGAAACCAATTTGGCTTAAACGAGTCTACTGTGCCAGCTGGCCCTGTCAGAGGCCTCCCGCTGAGCTGACACCAACAAGGCTAATGAAAGTGTTTATTTCAAAGCAGATGTCTCTAGAAGCTCATTGAAAGTCAAGGAAAGGCTAGCTTGATCCCCACTCAATTATTTTTTTTATTTGACAGGTAGAGTTATAGACAGTGAGAGAGAGACAGAGAGAAAGGCCTTCCTTCCATTGGTTCACTGCCCTAATGGCCGCTACTGCCGGAGCTGCACTGATCTGAAGCCAGGAGTTGGGTGCTTCCTCCCAGTCTCCCATGCAGGTTCAGGGACCCAAGCACTTGGGCCATCCTCCGCTGCCCTCCTGGGCCACAGCAGAGAGCTGGACTTGAAGAGAAGCAACCAGGACAGAATCCGGCGCCCCAGCCGGAACTAGAACCCGGGGTGGGGTGCCAGCACCACAGGCGGGGAATTAGCCTAGTGAGCCATGGCACTGGCCATCCCCACTCAATTATATTCTCCCTTATAGCTCACCCAAACTCAGAGCTCACCCAAACTCATTTTGCTCCATTCAGCAAATCAGTCCAATGGATTGGACAGCACTGGATAATCATTTAACAAGGATATTGATGTATACCAAAGACTGGGCCTATCCTAAGAGTTCAGGTTACAGGGAAAAAGACAAAGAAAGGCACAATCAAAAGCCTAGGGGCTTTGAAATAAACAAAAACAAACAATGAGCCTGATTCAAAGCCAGACCCAGTTACTTACTGGCTCTTTGGTCTTGAGCAAGTTCTTTAACTCTCTGAGCTCACTCTCCTCAGTCAAACTGGGGCTGGCCACACCTAGTCCGTAAGGGTCACTGTGTGGATTACACAAGATGATGTACAAACCTGCTCCATCATGGCAACAAATGTCAGTGCTATGCTACTTACCCATTGGTGGAGTGCCAATAACACAGGCAATAATGATCGATGCTGTAACAGGTGCAACGTGCCAAGAAAGCACAGTGAATGGAGGCACTTGTTCTACCAAATAGAAATAGAAGGAAAGGAAAGCTTCCAACAGAGGGTGAGCAGGAATTGACCAGGGGACCATCAGAGGGGAAGCAGGAGAGCTCTCCCACACCTCTGCTCCCAGATGAGGTGGCCTTGAGGTCCTGAAGTTAATGGAGAGACAAAATAATCTCTTCCTTCTGTAACAGAGGACTGACATTTCTATTTCTTTGCTGTGCTGGAGAAAGTCCTTTTTCTCTCAACCAGAAATATGAAATAATCCAATTTGCAGCTAAATTAACGCTGAGAATTGAAATGCATTGAATTCCAAAGTTCTGATTCTAAGAAGAATGTCAAACAAGTCTCACCCCCGATGTGTGTGACACATTTTTGAATACATTTTAGAAGGAGTTTGATGCTGTAAAATTGAGACATATGTACATGAGCGTGAAATAGTTGCTGTGGGAACACTTGGAATCTCCAAACATTTTTACTTCCATAATTTCACAACCTCAGTTACTAGAAGGCGAGAACTAGAAGACCACCTGGGGTCCCACGTCCCCATCTCCCTGATGGGGAGGCCAGGACACAGGGAATGACCTGTCCAAGACCTTATGTCCAAGTCTTAGATGTCTGTCAATGGAGTGCTGACCTTCAAATCCTGTGCTCTTTTTTGTCTACCTATTCCATCTGAAGGACTGGTATAATTTAAGGGTTGGGTCTTTGATCTTTTCCAATTGGACACTTTAGTAGATGTTCGTTTTGAAGAAAATTCATTTCCTTTGGGTTCATTTGGTTGCTTTTAAAAAAGATCAGCACTAACTTGTTATAGCCCACCTCAGGTTCTTTACCATCTCCTTAATAACATCCTGATGGTGATTAAATAGCAGAATAGGAAAGGGATTTTTAGAGGTCTCTCTGGCTCAGTTCCCCTTCCACCAGAGAAATCCTGTTCTTGAACATGTCCAGTGACATGCTGCTCCTTTTTCCCAGGAGAAGTTAAGCCCCGTTTGGCCACGGCTCTGAGTTTCATTAGGCAGAACTCTGTTTCCCTGTCTAATCTGTCTGTTAGGAGAAAGCGAAGAGGGCACTAGTGATCCCTTAGTGAGCACCATTCGGGTACCGCGCACATGTTAGGGCTTTGGATACACAAGTATCATTTCACTTGCCTCTTTTAATGTACTGTGGTTACGGGTTGAGTGTCCTTCATCCAGTGTTCTAGATTTTGGAGCTTTTGTATTCAGGACTAGTCGTGTAGACTTTACTGGTTGAGTTGGCCCTAATCCAATAAATCCAAAATCTGAAATTCTCCTAAACTGGAAACTGCTAGAATCACGGTGAAATGCTCAGGCTTTGGAGCATTTCAGATTTTGGATTTTTAGATCAGGGATGTTCAACCTGAATCCCAATGTGTAGACTGAAAACCAAATCGTTCAGAGAGTTTCAATGATGTGCCCAAGTTCATCTGTGACAGTGAAAGATTCAGTCCACAGGCCCTCTGGAACACACAGTGGCCTCGTCTCCCCCTGCCTCCTGTCTCGCTCCAGTACAGCCCTTTGAGCACGCTGCCCTGAAGTTTCCCTTTTAAAATAGAAAGCTCCAGCTTAAATGCCTTCGATGGCTCTTCAGTGCCACTCGAGGTAAATAGTCCAAACTCTCTAGCTTAATAATCAAGACCCTTGACAATCTGGCTCCAGGCAGAATTTGCCGGCTTGCTTTCCCCTACTCTTCCAATACCCCCTCGGTTTTCCATGAGGATGCCTGTCTCTTTGCACTGGCTGTCCTTGCTGGCTACATGCCTTCCCCTCTTGCTTTAAGGTCCACTCAAGTGGCACCTCCTTGGTGAAGGCATCCCCAGATTCGCTGGACAGAAGGAACTCCTTTGCATTGTCACGTCCTGTGTGGTTCAAGAGTTTCCAGGACACAGGGATTGCATTTTACTTTTCTTTGCATTCTCTGTTCCTTGCACATAGTAGGTATTCCACGGATATGTGGGGGAAAAGAACTGAGGCTTCACCCTTCCCCATAGTAGCCCTTCAACGATTTGAGGGCCTCACCAAGGCCTTGCCCTATCTCATTCTATTCCTGGTTGTTTTTTCTCTAGGCTGGAGACCCTGACCCTTCCAGCTGTTTCTTGTCAAGTCTGATTTCCAGAAACCTTATCTGCTCATTTGCTTTGGAGTTACGATTTGTCAATATTCCTCTTCTAAAGGACAAAACTTAATAACCCAGGCAAGCTCTGGCTAGAGCAGAACAAAGAGAAAGAATTCCAGTCTGTGATTTAGAGGGAACCTTACTGTGTGCCAGGAGCCCAGGCCTACCTTATCTTCTCCCCGCCTTCAAGAATCTGATGAGGTAGGTGTTACTTCTCCTGTTTCATAGATGATGATATCAGCCATGTGGCAAGGCACTTGAGAGTTAACTTAAAGCCACAAGCCCAGAGCACAAAGTGAACTTGTGGTCAGCTAGTACCTTTAGATCATTTTTATATCAACTGCTGTCAAGTTAGTATTATTGCTTCCTGTTACCACCTAGTGATAGGCTTAAGGGCAACTGAGGACAAAAAGAATCAGTGCCTTTAGTGGGGTGTGAAAGCACAGAGAAAAGGCATGTTGGATTAATGACCAACTTCCTAACAATAACAACCTTTATCTAGGAGCTCAGACAGAGCCTGGAATTTCTCAGCCACATAGCTTCCTGGAACTATTTTTATTTGGTATTTTACAAGAGGAGCAAGAGCAGAGCGTCTTAGATAAACAGTGAGGCTTGGGCTCAGCATGTCTCTGCAAAAGCACATGCACCAACCGCATCCGAGTCGCCAGTGGGGCCCTGTGTTCCAGGGCAGACCAGAAGGAGGCTGCTGCTGGTCTGTGGCCTGGGCCTGAGAGCGCCCCACTGTGCACACTCATTCCATAAACATTGACTGAGTGCCAGCCATGTTCCAGGCAAGGTGAGAGGGGCTGGGGATATAATGAAGAATAGAGAGGGAGAGAGGGAGCGTTCCAGCCTTCTAGAGCATATAGCAGGGTAAGACAAGCACAGGAGCACACAGGTGAGCATCTTAGTGCAGTGACCAAAGTCTGGGCCCAGGCTACTAGGAGGAATAAGAAGGGGAGCACTTCTCCCCTCCTGGGGTGCGGAGAGAAGATAAAGCATCAGAAGTTCCTGGGAAAGGTAATCTTTTAAAAAATTATTTCTTTATTTGAAAGGCAGAGAGACAAATGTACAGACATCTTCTATCTGCCAGTTCACTCCTCAAATGCTTGCAACAACCAGGGCTGGGCCGGGTTGAAGTCAGGAACCAGGAGCTCAGTCCGTGTCTCTCACGTGTGTGGCAGGGGTCCAAGCGCTTACGCCGTTACTGCTGCCTCCCAGGGTGAGCATTAACAGGAAGCTGGAATCAGAAGGGGAGCTGGGAGTGGAACCTTGGTACTTTGATATGAGATGCAAGTATCCCAAGTTTTGTCTCAACTGCTGTACCAAATGCCTGCCTCCAAGGGAGGGTAACCATAAATGATAAGTAGGGGTTAATCTGGCGAAGGAGGGAGCAAGAAACAAAAGAAGTTCTACTTTAGGGCAGAACCTTAGCATGAAGTTCCCATAAGGTGTGGGAAGAATTCTAACAGCTTAGTCTTTAATTCAAGTACAAGAGGCTGAGGAGATGAACAGGATTATCACTAAGCACCTCTTGTGTGCCAGGCACTGTGATAAACCCTTCGCATACATTATTTCAGATCATCAACTCACTGTGTGACTTTGAGCATGTTTTCGCATCTCTCTGGACCTCGCTAACAAATTGAAGACTCAATAAATTCTAAGCTACCTTCTAATCTCTGCCTCTAATGAAACTGAGTAGAAAGGCATTGGGATCTGCAGCCTATCTGCCATGTTTGCAGGAGTGCTGTGAGGATGATCAAGCATCCAAGTGACAAGCAAAGCATCCAAGAGGATTCTACTAAACTTAGAAACTTTGACCAAGCATATCATGTGTGCAGGACTTGGACAAGATGCAGACTGAAATGACTATTTGGCAGGGTGGGCTGTGATGGATTCCATTGGAAAGGATATGATCGTGAGCTGGGGGAGCTCAGAGTCGGGAGAGATCACAGCCAGCTGGAGGGGATGGCGCTTGTGATAGGCACAGGTGCACAGGAGTTGAGGAAGGCTGAGTGTGTGTGTGTGGGTGTTCTGCACAAGGGAGGCAAAAAGAGCTGGACAGGTCAACTTCTGTCCATTCGTCCCCGCCACCCCCTGCACATCCTCTGCTCCCCCTACTTATGTTCAGGATTCTTTACTGACAGTGGAGACTCTGCCTGGTTCAGCTGTATCCACACAAAGCCACTTGCCATCTCTTATACGTGCCCTCAGGTTTCTGGCCCTCCTGATACCTCTCAATACAGTGCTCCACTCCCATAATATGCCTATCAACTTTGCCCACCCATTTCTCAGGGCCCTTCTAAAATGCCATCTGTTTGGGACACATGTTTGGCACAGCAGTTAAGATGCTGCCTGGGACATCTCTATCCCAGATCAGAGTGCTTGGTTCGAGTCCTGACTCCTTTGCTTCTGATCTACTCCCTGCTAATGTACACCCTGGAAGGCAGCAGCTGATGACTCAAGTACTTGAGTTCCTGCCACTCATGTAGGAGACTCAGACTGAGTTCTAGGCTCACGGCTTTGGGCTAGCCCAGCCTTGGCCATTGAGTATTTGGGGTGTGAACCAATGGATGGACGAGTTCGCTCTCTCTCTCTCTCTCTCTCTCTCTCTCTCTCAAATAATACAACAAACAAAAAGGTAAACATAAAATAAAATGGCATCTTCTCTATGTAACCCTTTCTGAATGTCTTCCAAACACCAGAACGTTTGGATTGCATTTCTCTTATAGACACTTGGAATTCTCTGCCTTGTACTATAATACCTGTGCTCACCAGACTGTCAGCTCCTTGAGGAAAAGTGCTGTGCCATGCTGATCTCCCTCCCCAGGGCCTCACACCTGGCAGCACTCAGCAGCTGAGCGGGTGCCATCTCCCCAGAAAACACATGCACCGGGAGCAAAGTGGTTGGAGAGAGTCTCAACGAACTTGCAGTCTGACCACCACTTAAGGAAAGCTGGGATGGTCCTCTGTGCCCTGTGGTTATTGCAGCCATCGTCGTGCTAAACTCAGGCATTTGTTTTGGTGGTGTCAAGTCCACCTCTGGTGCTAACAGAAGACTCTGTTAGCTAATTCCGTTCCCTAACTGTGTCAGGAATGGGAGCCTGAGAACAAAGCTAGGGGTGAAGAGGAAGTGTGTGGAGCAGGTGTAAGTCTAGATGATTGATTCAAAGGAAACCCATCCCAGTGGGTGAGAAGAGTATTATAGAGCCACCATTTGGTCGAGACACGTCAGTCTGTGATGCAGCACATTGCCCCTACTTTATGGAGGAGCAAACTCGCGGGAGTTCAGGGGCTCAGAAAGCTGACTATGTTCGAAGAGGGTCATAGGGCTTGTGGCAGAACTGAAACATGAAGTCAAGTCTGACCCTCTCTGCTGTATCATCTCTGCCACTCAACACCCCAGGTGCAGAGGAGGGGACAAGGAATTCAGACTCTCTATGACATTCAGGTTCTTGGGGAAGTAGATCGGAACATTTCCAATTCTTCTGCTGATTTAAAATTTAGTATTCACATGAGAGCTGTTTGACTCACCCGTTGAATGATCTTAGGCAGCCTTGAAAAAATAAAAACTGGCCAACAGCCAGAAGAAGGTGTGAGAGGAAACAGCAAAATCCATTGGCCACGGAGAGCACTTACGTGTGTTAGTACCCTCAGCCCCAGCCCCCACCACACACACGTTCTTAAAGCACCACAAGCCATTGCTTCTATTTCCTGCACTAGCTGCTTATCCTGGGTCACCAAAAACACAGTCAAAGTAAAATACTGTTCCCTCTATTGTCAGTGACAGAATAATCGCTCCTTTTTGCTATCTTTTATGCAAGGCCCTGCCAGGTTCAATTCCATAATGTAGTATACGAAACAGCAGCTCTGGAGGTTTCTAGCATTCCTTCTTAAAAACATACATCCTGGTTAATTTGCCTATCTTCTTCCTTCTCCATGGCTTCTGTACTTCTTGGCTTTCCTCCATCTGTGGCTTTTCCCAAACCATATTCTTCTCTTCATGTGAATTTTGTTTAATTTTTATTTATTTATTTGGAAGGCAGAGAGACAGATAAACAGAAATCTCACATCTGAAGGTTTGTTCCCCAAATGCCTGCAATAACTGGATTTGGGCCAGGCTGAAGCCAGGAGTCCAGAACTCAGTCTGGGTCTTCCAGGTGAGTGGCAGAGACCCAGGTGCTTGCGAAATCACTTGCTGCCTCCCCAGGTGTGCACTAGCAGGAAGCTGGCATCAAGCACTCCAATGTGAGATGCAGGCATACTCAGTGACATCTGAATTGCTATGCCAAATACCCACCCTGGTCCTTGGTCTTTAACATTTTTCCAGATCTTTTTTAAAAATTTAGTTCATGATATCTAGGAAATGCTGTTCCCAGAGCTGTGAAATAAAATGAGCTGAAAGTGAACTACAATCTAACTTGAAATACAACAATTGTGATTTATCTTTCATCATACGGAGATGCTTACCAGGTCCTGGCTGGGAAGAGAGCAATCGACTCTTCTTGAGACATGTCAGAGAAGCTTTGAGCTGGATCTAAAAAAGAAACAGGAATCCTCAAAATGATACATACATTGTAATTTGATTTGCCTTTTTATTCATTTTTAAATCTTTTGACACATAAGTGTACATATTTATGGGGAACAGTAGAGGAAGCAGATAGCATACATCATGTGTAGCAAGCTTGCAAGACTCTCCTTCCCACCAGACCTTGGTGGAGACACTGTGTGAACCAGGTTCATGATCTCAAGAAGCTTTCAGCCCAGAAAAGGAGTTTAGAAGTGTACCCCAATAATGGCAGCACAAGGTCTATTATGCCACGGACAGAGTTACAGAACAAATCACCAAGGAAGTTGGCAGAGAAATGTTTAAGAGAACATTTCTCACTGACCATAGAGTAGGCAGAGGTCTAAGATAGCCCCCAAGATTCCAGCCCCGTGTTGTCCAGCTCCTGTGGAATCCCTGAACAGCGACTATGATGAATTTACCCTTGCAGGTTGGTTATACCATGTGGCACAGTTGACTTTCAAGGAGGGAGACTTAAGTTCAAGTGGGCCTGACTTAATTATAAGTCTTGTAGAAGTTCACTGTTCTCTGACTCATTGAAGAAGGGAAATCAGAGAGAGCCAAACAATGAGAAGGATTTAATAAGAGAGCGATTCTCTGTTGGCAAACAGAGCACGAGGCAAGGACCGAAGAGTGGTCCCCAGTTGACAGCTTGTAAGACAATGGGGATCTCACTCCTGCACACAGGGAAACGAATTCGGCCAACAACCTAAAGGAGCTTAGGGTAGACATTTCCCTCATCAAGCCTCCAGAGACCTTAATTTCAGCCACACCATGCAAAATTTCTGGCCAATGGAACTAAGCAGGCCAACAGATGTTCTCTTAAGATGCTCAGTTTGTGGTAATTTATTAAGCAATAATAGAAAATCAATATAAGGGGGCAGGCATTTGGCCCAGTAGTTAAGTCACAGATGAAGACCCCTGTACCTCACCGGTTTGACACCCAGTTGAGGCAGCAGTGATGGCTCAAATAGTTGGATTTTTGCTGCCAACATGTGAGAGCTGGATTGAATTCTCAGCTCCCAGCCCAGTCCTTGCCCAGTCTCATTCTTTGTAGGCATTTGGGAACCAGCAGATGGGAGCACTCATTCTCTCTTTCTTTCCTTGCCCCCCACATCTGTCTTGCTCTGTCTCTCAAATAAGCAAGAATTTTAAGTTTTAATGTGTTAAGACCTTTTAATTAGTATGTTCATATAAGTTAATGTTTCTTTTTAAAAAAAAAGGAAAAAATATAAGCACTAATAACACTGTGCTTTCATGGTTGTAACATTTTTCCCAATTATGGGCTCTTTACACTCAGGCTACATCTAATGATCCTTGAAACCTTGGGGACACACACACACACACACACAGAGGCAAAACACAAGTATTCACCAAAATTCCATTGATTTTTATGAAAGCTTAAATGAGACACAAGGACCTGATCAGGACTTGGGTATATTCTGTCTGTTTCCTTTTCCCAAAGATGGGCAGACTAACACTGAGCCCAGGGACTGGACACAAGGATGCAACACCCTCAGTCTAAAACTTCCAGGTCTATTCAGGAGGAAGGCAGGTAACCCAACCTCAACTGCCCCAATGCTGGCATAGGTGGATGTTCTTCCAGGGAGCACTGTTAGAGACATCGTTAATCAGGACACCCCTGTGTGACCTGAGAGCCACCATGTTCTAAAGGATACCCACACACCCACCACCCCAGCCCAGCATGGGTCTCAGGATTTACACTTCACTGTAAAACTTTAGCTGTAGGTGAAAGACAAATTAAGTATTTTTGAGCATCCAAAAGAGAAGGTAAAAATCTCTTAACTTCATTAATTCATACTTATTTCTTGCATTTTTTTTTTTTGACAGGCAGAGTGGACAGTGAGAGAAAGAGACAGAAAGGTCTTCCTTTTCCATTGGTTCACCCCTCAATGGCCGCTGCAGCTGATGCACCGTGCTGATCTAAAGCCAGGAGCCAGGTGCTTCTCCTGGTCTTCCATGTGGGCGCAGGGCCCAAGGACTTGGGCCATCCTCCACTGCACTCCCGGGCCACAGCAGAGAGCTGGACTGGAAGAGGAGCAACCAGGACAGAATCCGGCGCCCCAACCGGGACTAGAACCCAAGGTGCAGGAGCCGCAGGTGGAGGATTAGCCTATTGAGCCACAGCGCCGGCCTATATCTTGCATTTTTTAAAATATGAAACAAGAAGAAACACAATGAACTTCGCGTATCTTCCACTTTGCCCACAAATAGTTAAAATCCTGTATCCCCTTCCCTAACAGCACTCCCAATCCCAAAACCCTAGTGTTAACCACTATTCTGACTTTGGTGCATACTGTTTTCATGCATGTCTTTATATTTTTACTACATGTGAGTTCCTCAATAAAACTGATACTCTTGCTTATTTCTCACTAAGAAAAGGTATCAGTGTTTGGCACAGCAGCTTAAGTTGCCCATTGGGACGTCTGCATCCCACATCAGAGTAGCTCTTTCAAGTCTTGGCTACTCTGCTTCAGATCTAGCCTTCTGCTAAGGTGTATCCTGGCAGGAACAGGTGATAACTCAAGTACTTGGGCCCCTGCCACCCATTAGACACAGATTGAGTTCTGGGTTCCTGGCCTCAGCCTGGCCCAGTCTCAACTGTTGAGGGCATTTGGGGACTGAACAGTTGGATGGAATATCTTGGTCTCTCTTTAAGTAAAATAAAAATTAAAAATTAAAACAAGTCACTGTATGTGAGTGGCACCATACTGCTTATATCTTTTTGTTGAATCTTGTTTCTAGATATTTTTCATGTTATTACATGTAGTTTGAGATTAGAGGTTGACAAATTTTTCTGGAAACAAACAGATAGTAAATATTTTAGATTTTGCAGGACATAAGGTCCATTGTAGCACAAAGACAGCCACAGGAAGCCTGGCTGTTTAACAATAAAACTTTGTCATGTAATTTCCATGCCATGAAATACTGCTATTTTTTTTTTCAACCATTTAAAATAAAACTATTTTAGCTCCTTGACCAAAAACAAACAGAAGAGGGGGCAGATTTGGCTCAAGGGCCACTGTCAATACTGTTCCAGCTAATTCATTTTTGTTGTTACATAATATTGTATGCATATTCATTCAGAAAATATTTACTAAGCTTCTATCAAGTGCTGCTGTAGAACAGACACTGATCTTGCTTTTAAGTAATTTACTGGGTGAGTAGGAAGAGAACACATGTTAGCCAATAATGCGGCAGACGTGATGAAGACCCTAGGAGAGAACCGTATGACGCGCTCCCAGCAGTCGGGGCAGGAGCTCTCCTTTCACACTGACACAGTGGCTGAGGAAGCAAGTTCTGGAGCTGGGCTCCTTGGGCTCCTCTTCTTTTTCCACCATTTCCCAGCTATGTGACTTTGGACAAGTTCCCTTACCTTCCTGTGCCTGGTTTTCTTATGTGTAAAATGCAGTTCATAATAATACCTCCTAGGTAGGTTTGTTGTGAAAATTGTCACAAGAATAATGCACATAGAGCACCTAGAAGAATGTCTGGTTCATAGCAAGCATCGTGCTCAGATCCATGTTAGTTTTTATTATTCAAGCTGGATGTCATGAGAGACTTCATGAAGGCATATTAAATCAGTTTTTTTTTTTTAAGTAGGATTCAGACATACAGAAGTGGAGAGGAAGGCATTCTATGAAGAGAGAACCATATATGGAAAAGCTCAGAGCAGCACAGGACAAACACAGGAAACTACAAGTGAATCAAAAGGTAAGTAAAGGAGAATAGAGAGGAATGCATTCAAGAAGAACAGTTGTGGCCAAACCATGGAAAGCCTTGATGGAAAGCCTTGAATGCAAGGCCAAGGCTAAGGAGTTTGAACTTTGTCCTGTAGGTGAGGACTCGGGAGACACGATGCTTCCAGGATCTGTCAGCCATGGGAAGGAAGTTGGAGGGAAGGGTCAAGAGTTTCGGTTACATCTCCCACTGCTTGGGAAGTGACCTTTAGGAGGCCAAACGCTGTTTGGTTTGGAAACTGGATGTGGAGGAGGGCAGGGAGACATTTTAAAAAGGACTACCAAAGCTTTTGGCCTGCGTGACTGAGAGTGTATGACCCAATTAGCGGAAACGGGGAGCACAGATAGAGAGGGTTTGGGATGGAAAGGCATGATTTTGATTTTTAACCTTTGAAGTCTGAGGCCTCCATGTGGAGTTGTCTAATGGAAGTGGAGCTGAGAACAAGTAAGCCTAGAGAGAAGGCGAATGATACCGGCTACATGCTTGGGATCCTTTCAATGGCTCCGGAGCTTATGCTCAGCCCCAGGAAGAACCTGAAAGCAGAGGAGTGGAGGCCAACCCCGCAGCTCATAACCAACTGCAGCTAGTCTTCCCAGCGCTCTGAGACAGTCCTTCAGACCCTTACTCGGAGGCTGCTCCATGGGATTCCACTAAACCTGCATTCTTTACTTTCTTGGCGTTAGCAATGTGGAAGCAGGGGGCAGGCATAATGCCAGCAGAAACTTCATGAAGTCATCGTGAGAACTCCAAAAACACAGGTGGAATACAGGTAGCTCTTCCCTTCTCAATAGCCCAAGAGGATTTCTTAGTAAGAAAGCCTGGTTGTTACTGGTTCATGTGCATAATAAGTTAAAAAAATACTACATTTTATTCTAAATCTATTCACCTGCTATACATACTATAAAATATTTTTTAAAGATTTGTTTATTTGAAAGGCAGAGTTACAGAGAGGCAGAGGCAGAGGGAGGGAGGGAAAGAGAGAGAGAGAGAGAGAGAGAGAGAGAGAGAGGTCTTCCATCTGCTGGTTCACTCTCCAAGTAGCCTCAATGGCCAGAACCGAGCTGATCCGAAGCCAGGAGACAGGAGCTTCTTTTGAGTCTCCCACATGGGTGCAGGGGCCCAAGGTCTTCAGCCATCTTCTACTGCTTTCCCTCACCATAGCAGTAAGCTGGATCAGAAGTGACACGGGGCTGGCGCTATGTCATAGTGGTTAAAAGCCGACACCTGCAGTGCTGGCATCCCATATGGGCGTCGGTTCAAGTCCCTGCTGCTCCTCTTCCAGTCCAGATCCCTGCACCCATGTGGGAGACCTGTAAGAAGCTCCTGGCTCCTGGCTTCGGACTGACATGGCTCCAGCCGCTGTGGCCAATTGGGGAGTGAACCAGCGGATGGAAGACCTCTCTTTCTCTCTGCCTCTCCCTCTCTCTCTGTGTAACACTGACTTTCAAATAAATAAATAAATCTTTAAAACAAAACAAAACAAAAAGAAGTGAAGCAGCCAGGACTTGAGACGGCACCCATATGGGATGCCAGCACTGCAGGCAATGGCTTTACCCACTACACCAAATTAATATGTTCCATCTTAATGGAACAAAACCTCAGCTCTTGGAAGATCTCCAAAGAAAGTTTTCCAGACAAAAGATGTTCTTTTTTTTTTAAAGAGTTATTTATTTATTTATTTATTTATTTTGACAGGCAGAGTGGACAGTGAGAGAGAGAGACAGAGAGAAAGGTCTTCCTTTGCCGTTGGTCTACCCTCCAATGGCTGCTGCGGCCAGCGCACCGCGCTGATCCGATGACGGGAGCCAGGTGCTTATCCTGGTCTCCCATGGGGTGCAGGGCCCAAGCACCTGGGCCATCCTCCACTGCACTCCCTGGCCACAGCAGAGAGCTGGCCTGGAAGAGGGGCAACCAGGACAGAATCCGGCGCCCCAACCAGGACTAGAACCCGGTGTGCTCGCGCCGCAAGGCGGAGGATTAGCCTAGTGAGCTGTGGCGCCGGCCTATTTATTTATTTTAAGTCAGAGTTATACAGAGAGAGAAACAGAGGCAGAGAGAAAGAGAGAGAGAGAATGAGAGAGGTCTTCCATCCGCTGGTTCACTCCCCAAAAGGCCGCAACGCCCGGAACTGCACCAATCCGAAGCCAGGAGCCAGGAGCTTCTTCTGGGTCTCCCACACGGGTGCAGGGGCCCAAGGACTTGGGCCATCCTCCACTGCTTTCCCAGGTCACAGCAGAGAGCTGGATTGGAAGAGAAGCAGCTGGGACTCGATCTGGCGCCCATACGGGATGCAGGTACTGCAGGCAGCGTCCTTACCCGCTATGCCACAGCGCTGGCCCAGAAGAGGTTTTGATACCACGGCTGTCTTCTCACTTCCCTCAATACAGTATGTAAGGCCTTGGCCCACCCTCTGCAGGACTCCCAGGACCACCTTGCAGATGCTGGTAACTGGCCACCCTCCTCCCATCAGCCTCCCCGACTTGACTGCTTCTCAGAGGAGGGGTCACAGCCTGCGGAGGGTCAGAAACAGCCACCAACAGCATCCACAAAAGCAGCAGGAGAATCCTCGCTCCACGGGGCAGAGTGGAACAGAACAGGACACCTGCCCGGGTGCTGCTCAGGTGGCGAAGCAACACCGGATGGGAATAAAAGGCCGTAGTCTGGGCCCCCGCTTACCAGCCCTGCACTTCCAAGTGTCTGTCCCTTGGCCTGGAAAGCCAGTGCCTGTGAATTCACCCTCAGGGCATAGCTTGGGCCTTGCAAACTTCTGAAGTGCAAATCTGATTAAGTTATTTCCCTACTTAAAACTCTTCAAAAGCTTCTTAGAACTTACAGGGAGTATCCAGAAACCTTTTGCTATCGGGACGCCTTTCCACTCCAAAACTTACACCAACAAAGCTATTACATGGAAATAATTTTTTAATGGAAAATAGCCACATTTTCTAAATAAAAAATTTAAAGAGTGGTGTTTTAACATTTGTGCAAATCTGTTTGAATGTCTGGCTTAGCAGGAGACAGCTGGATTCTAAAATCTGATTCTGCACTTACTCTGTGGCCGCGATCACGTCTATGACAAACCTCATGCACATTCATGAGAGAATGAGTGAAAAAAAAATTAGCGTTGCTAGGAAGATACTCTTGAGTTCACTGGTCCCTGAGCAGATCTCAGGGACACGCACGGTGGAAAACCCACAGCAAGGACCTCTTTCCTGGATAACTCCTTCCCCGAGTTAGCGCAGCACCGGCACCCTGTCCGGGTCTCCCCGAGCCTGCCGCCCCGGCCCCGGGAGCCGGCCAGCCCTCCCTCCGCCTGGCTGGCTGGTTCAGGAGCCGACTCGGACGGGATGGCTCGGAGGTGCCTCCCCTGACTCACCCCGGCAGGGTCAGTTCTCCCTGCGGGCAGAGCACCGGCTGCAGCCATCCAGGCGGGCCAGGAACCCCACTCGGTCATCCACCAGCTCGTTACTGCCAGCGTGACGTGGCTGTTAGCAACGAGCCCGAGCGGCACCGAAGGAACCGGTGCATTCCGGCCCACCGGGGCTCACTGCTGACGGGACGCGCCGCCCGAGCCACCGACGCCGTCTGTAATCCACCAGATCCTGGACGGTTCCGCAAGCACTAGCGGATCGTTTCGCACCGGCCTTCCGCTTCCGTGTCCCCGCGTTAGACAAGAAGGCCGCGGAGCGGAGGTGCGAAGCCAGGCGCCAAGGTCGCCGCACGGCCAGCTGAGGGGGCTGGGCTGGGGGGCCGGGGGTCGCCGACGCAGCGCCGCTCCTCCGCCGGCCGTCGCAGACCCCCGCTCCACCCCCTGCTCGCCAGGCCTCCAGCCCCGCCCCCGCGCGCGAGCCCCACGGCCGAGGCGCGCGCCACCTCGCGGCGGGAGGTGCGGGGCGGGGCCGGGCTACCCCCGCCCCCCGCCCCAGCCTCCGCCGTCGCCTCGGTGGAGCCCCCAGCCGCCCGCAGCCCGCCGCCGTCCGGAGCCGTCCGCCGCCCCCCGCCCGCGCCCTCGCCTTCCCCCCTTCCCTGCGCCGCGGAAACATGGCGGCGGGAAGGGAGTGAACCGCCCCGCGCCCCGCGCCGCCGCCGCCGCAGGTAAGCGCCTCACGGCCGCCCGCTGGGGCACCCGCGCCTGGAGGGGCCGCCCGGGGCTGAGGCGGCGGCGGGACCTGCGCTGCCGCGGCGCCCGCCCCCAGGCCGGGGCTGTCAGTCTGTCGGGCCGGCTGGCCTTCTTGGGGGGGTGCGCCGCTCCGCCACCCTTCCCCGGCAGTGTCAGCCGGCCCGAGTCCCGGCGGCCTGCTCGGCGCTGGCGTGGGGCGGAGGGGTCCAGCGCCCGGCCATGGCCCTGACGCGGCAGGCGCGCCGGGGGCCTCGTGGGGGTTCGCTCGGTCCGGGCGGGCGCGGCCGCGGTGGGCCCGGGGAGCTCGGTGTTGTGGGGTCCGCGCGCGGCCAGCGGGGCCAACCCAGAGCGAAAGGTGAGCCGGAGCCCAGGTCCCGGGTCCGGGCGGGCGAGGACCGAGGGGTCTGGGGCGCCAGGGCGGAGCTGTCAGCAGCGGGCGCTGCGCTGGGACAACTCAGGTGCCACCTGCCCCGAGTCCCGTTGGAAACGGGCGAGGAGAGCCCGTTGCAAACCTCAGGGGCGGGTGGGAGCAGCCCGTGGTCTGGATGCGGGCACAGCTGTGGGCAAGGAGTCGGGTGAACCCCAGGACATCGCCACCGGAAGGGAACTGAAAGTCTTGTAGGGTCCCTCCCATCCCGTGCCGGAGTGTCTGAAAATGCCCCAGTTCTGCCCTGATGACGCGACGACCCCGCGTTTGGAAACATCTCTTCCCGAGGAGCCCCGTTCCGCGCCTGCACGCATGTGGTTGTAGAGGTCTTTCCTAGTTGTTCTCTCTTACGAGCGAGCGGCTGTGACAATCTCTGAAGGTAGTGACCATGACCCCTGCACTCCCACCGAGCCGTCAATTCCTGCTCCTTCCGCTGTTTCTCCTTGTTTCTCGCGCTGTGGTTCTCCGATTTGTTCTCTGGAGGAGCTGCGGTGTGCCCGCACCTCCTTTAAAGGAGAGCAGGGAAACAATACCTAGTAAGTTTCTCCTAGTAGCGCCTGGCTACTGACCTGCTTAGGTGAAAAGTACTCTCTTCCTCCTCTCCGTGCTGTGTTTTGAACTTCTAAAAAAAAAAAAGTGTCGTGTTTGTTGAAGCAGACTAAAAGGGTGCTATTTGTGGAAATCTGGTTTTTCTCCTTTCAAAAATATCAGTAAGAACCTTATTAAATGAATTAATAACGTATATCAAAGGGTATTAAAGTGTCATGTGCCCTGTAAACAGAGGAGCGTATTATTTTTACTCTGAAAAGAATTGGGCAATTTAATATTTGGTTGGAAAGGGAAGTGGTTTATTACATTGAACGCTTTGCTGTTTTTCTAACTGCCAGTGGAAGGCCAAACTTGAAAGGTATATACTTTCTATTCTTCACTTACCAGCGTTATTTTTTATTTTATTTTTTAAAATCACTTAGCCTTGATAGTGTAAAGTTTTAAAAAGGATCTTTTACCTAATTCCTAAACCCCTGCCTAAGCCACCCTGCAGGTTACTTTTTTAAGCCCAGTGGAGATGTGATACTTTGTAGATAAGCTACTAAACTCTTGTGGAAGCTTCACTTTTTTTTATAAAGTAGGCAAGCACATACCAGCAGTCAGAATTGGTTTATCTTTCTTCTCATGCCCCCATTTTAAAAATTGGTCAGTGGCTTTGAAGTTTGTAGACTGTATGTCAAGTTTTGATTTCTAATGTTCGTGCAAATGCTCTTTCCTATTTATGTAAGTTGGGTGAAAATTTGTGTAGCACTATTCTCGATAGAACTGTCCAGATGTAGAAAAGGCTCTGGTTCTTGCCTTCAAAATACTTGGCATTAAAGATAGGAATCTCTCTGGTGAGAATATTCCACTGAAAATGTAAACTTTGTATGTTCTGACTTTTAAACTTCTGTGCCTACTGTGTGTTAGTCACTGTCTGTGTAATGTGCTTGACATTGTGGAGCTGGTAAATTAGATGCTTGAATAGGTCTTCTTGGAGTAAACGGTAAAAGCTGTGCTTGTGATGCTGTGATTGCCTGACACTGAGGCTGCAGACTAGTAGAAGAGTCAAGGCAAGGCTGTGAGGAAAAGATGATACCTGACCCAGATCTTTTGTTAGTTTGTTTTTTATTTATATAAGGTGAACATGTTTCACATATACAGATTTAGGAGCATAGTGATATTCCCACCCTACCCTCCTGCCTCCTTCTTTTCTTACTCTTTCTTTTAATCTTTATGATCCAAATCTTGTAAGGAGTCAGTTAGGTAAAGACAAGCAGGAAGTGTGCTTCAAACAGAAAACAACTTGAATAAAAGCATCATTGTGAGAGAAGGAATTGCTTGCCCTGAGAACTACAGTTTCGGACTGCTAAGGATAGGACAATAAAGATGTATGTGTATTGAAATTAAGGCATGATTTTTGAGAAATCACTGAAAGATTTCTATTAGAAATTATTGAAGTAACATTTAAAAACCTAGAGAATGAATTTGAGGAAATCTATAAGACTTTATGACTGGATGCACAGGTGAGAGAATAAGGAGCCTGATGTGATGCTCTGGGTTTTGGCTTGGGTGGTTAGGGGGATAGCGGTGACATTAACTGAGAAAGGAAACTAGATAAGTTCAGTTTTAGACTTGAAGATATTATGATTTCTGGAGTTAGATGTGTGAGCAAATGTAGTAATTATAAGCTGGAAGAAAAAGATATTATGGTCAGGAAGTGCAATATTATTATCATTAATGTGTAAAGTTTTCTGATGTGGGACTGTTCTGGATGACAGCTATGTGTGGGTAGCAGAGATGAAGGTCCCTGAAGCTCAGTATGACAAGGAATGTGAGGCTAGCGTATATTGAATAAGTCATCCATGTGGATGGTGTATGATTTAGGATGATAGGATATGGGGAAGAGGAAGATTGTGACCCAGGTGCAGTAAAGATAGGTGATTAATCAAGACGGTGATAGATGGCAGATGAGGAGGAAGGTTAGCGAGTGATAGAGCCAGATGGTGCAAACCTCAGAGGAGGAGGGTTTTTTAAACATGAGAATAGAAGAGTAATGATTTTTGACTTTTCCTTCCTGGAAGCAGGGTTCTAATCTCTTCATCTTCATTCAGGGCTTATATTAATTATTCTGTTTGCTCTGAAGAGTCTTGTTATTCTTGGGAAGTGGGAGTCCAGATACCTCATATTGAATCCTTTATGCTAATACTTAATGATAAAAGGTAGTGGACAATATTTTTTCCTTTGAGATTAGTGGGAGGATAGGAAATAATTAGATAAAGCAGTGAGTATATACTCATGATTTCTGGGCGGAGTATAGTAGAAAGAGCCTAGGCTGTGGAGTTAGACCAAAAGTCGGACTTAGACTCTGTCACTTACTAGTATGATGACTGTATACAAACAGCCTCTGCAAACTTCAGTATCCTATCTGTAAAAACTTCCTACCTCATAGAGTGTTGCAGAGATTACATTTTGTATGTATAGATAAATACCTATACATATATATGTATTACATCTATATGTATTACATATAATATCCATCACTAGAAAAAGCGAATGGCACTTTACAGATGCAAAATAAACATTAATTCTCTTCTACCTTCCTTTAAGGGTCTTATGTTCTGGTAGCAGAAATGAAACTTTCTTGAAGAGATTTAAATTACCTCTAAGGGAGGTAAAAACAAAGTGATAACAGCAATTCAGGAGAGGGAACCATCATTTCTCAATGTTTGGAGACAAAGCTAGGCTTCACATTCAGGAGGAGTTCCTTGGGAGCCTTGGAGAACAAATTTCAATAAGTACTGATTTAGTTAAGATACAAAGTAAAGATAGTATAGAGTATGTATTTTAAAAATTAATAGCTGCAGAGTTGGCGCTGTGGAGCAGCAGGTTAAAGCTCTGGCCTGAAGTGCCAGCATTCCATATGGGCGCCGGTTCTAGTCCCAGCAACTCTACTTCCAATCCAGCTCTCTGCTATGGCCTGGGAAAGCAGCAGAAGACGGCCCAAGTCCTTGGGTTCCTGCACCCATGTGGGAGACCTGGAAGAATCTCCTGGCTCCTGGCTTCAGATCAGCACAGCTCCAGCCATTGCAGCCATCTGGGGAGTGAACCAGTGGATGGAAGACCTTTCTCTCTCTGTCTCTGCTTCTCTCTGTAACTCTGTCTTTCAAATAAATAAAATAAATCTTAAAAAAAATTAATAGCTGCCATAGGTTTGGGTATCATATTTGTGTAAGTCAGTAGAGGTTTATGTGGCAAGAGAGATTGACTAAAGCCATAGTACTAAAAACTCAGAAGTGCAGTATGGAACTGATTCTAGATGTGCTAGAAAACAATAGATTATATATTCTCTCTCCATATGCCAGTTTACTGTAAGTTAATTTATAGACATTAATTAATAAACTTCAGATTCTTGTTTGAAGTAAACCATGTAAGAAATTCCACATTTGAAAATGAGTTCCTATGTGGGCCAATTTTAGGTTACAAGATTAATCACTAAGATTTGTTTTATAGTTTTAATCTTTGCAATATCTGTCTTTGATAGATAAGAATGGTAAAGTTGAAAAACATACAAGATCTCACTGGTGGAAAATGAGCAATTTCATATTAAGCCATTTTCCTTCTACTGAACTGATTTAGATTTGAAAAGAAATCTAGGTTCTTCAGTGTCACTAAAAATTAACTGTCCATGGGGCATATGGGAGCTTAATATATCTAATTTAAAATACTTTCACTGAAACAAAATATTA